ATTGTCAATATCAGCTTGAAGATCTTTCTCCTACAGGAAAAGAGCCTGTGTATTTCTGAGTCAACACTTTCAATTGAACATTTCACGGTCTCCAGTTTAATGACAGACATGAGTAGCTCTGGAACATTAATTCCAGTCCCTTTTCCGTGAAGCTCTGCCAATGCAAAAACAGAGAACTCTGGAATATACAGCCCCTGAGGATCACTGTGAACACCCACTCATTCCACCAGATGGTATCCTTTCACTTAAATAAGAAAGAATAATTTCAGTAACACAGGCCTTAGGCTGCTTGATGTTACCATTGGTCTCTGGGGCCTCATTTCAAAGCTAGATGGCAAATATGACTACAGGGATGATTCCCACTCTGCACCCAAAACACCATGGTAGAACAGCAATCAATCTTATTACACAGGTTAAAAGATTCTGTCAGAGTCAGTGGTATCATTATGGATCTCTGAAGATGCATTTATAATTATTACAGGTACTGCTGGACAACTAAGGGAAAAGAAGTTACTAGGTATTTACTTCAGGAATCACCCAGGTTTCCTTCACTTTTGCTGTGTGTTAAGGCTGCAACAGGCTCCCACATGAAGCTCTTCCCAAAATAATAACATACACTCTTGTTCTGACAGGTGGAGAAGGGAGAAAAATAATTAAGATCTGAGCATATGTATTGTATTTTTCCAGAAATAAAAATTCCAGAAGTTACCAATACAAACTAAAACTACATTATTTGATCGCACTAAACATTTTCTAATTTATTCTGGAAACAAAATTTTAAAAGGTAAAATAAAACATAGAAAGGCAAATAAAAAGAAGATTGTCATATATGCCACTATCCTGTCTGAAAGAACAAGAAGACCTTCCAGCTGAGTCAGTTTGCTTGAAATTTCTTGCCGGAAGGAGCTTGGTTTTCAGCATAGATGTAGCTGTTACAGAGATCTCTGCTATTGGTTTACAAGAAACACGTGAAATGGACCTATATAAGTGCCTCAAAGGGAGAGGTTCACTGACTACTGAGGCAGAAATGAGGATGTGGACTGCTTGGTGTGTGACCATGTACTTCTTTGGAGCAAGTAAGAAATCAGTAGAGCCATAATACCCACTCTGCTGCTGGGAGAATGTAGTTTGCTTGTTTTACTGTGGGTTTGTTTTGCTTTGTCTTATAGGAGCTGAAATCACCCAATCCCCAAGTCTTGTGCTGAGAGAAGATGAGAAAGCTACTCTGACATGCAGCCAAAACGATAATCATGGTTCTATGTACTGGTATATGCAGCAGCCAGGGAAGGGGCTGCAATTAATCTATTATTCCTTTGGTCAAAATAGTGAACAAGAGGGTGATATTCCCACTGGATTCAAAGCTAACCGGCCAAAGCTTTCAGATTTCAATTTGGATATTTTATCCTTGAAGATGAACAATTCAGCTGTCTATTTCTGTGCTAGTAGTTTGAACACAACACTTCAAAGGGACTTGTTTTCTTTACATAAACCTCTCTCATTTCCAGCACTTTCCCTCTGAGGGGAGCTGCTCTCAGCACAGAAAAACAGAGTGTAGGCCAATAGTCTATTCACAAATCAAATGTTGCTGAGGAGTTGGAACAAGAAAAGGTAGAAATAAGACCTAGGCAGAATAGGTATTTGAAGTGCAGCTTAATTGCTGAACTCCTCTTTGCTGTTCAGCCATTTATCCTCTGTCTCATCAAGACAATTAATAAAGATGGGTAACCAAATGCAGGCATAAAACAAAGGAAATGGAAACTGCAATCCATACAGGCACAAGTTATTGTCCCCTAAGCCATTTTATTACCTGACACAGAACAGTTACTTGAGATATATATCTAAGTCTAGCATACTTTAGAGACAGTGACTTCTATGTGTATTCACATTCTTTCCTGAGTATTATCAAGCAGTGAAAGCCACAATATTTTTCACTGTGCTTGAAATGGTCACCCTAATCACCAGAAATCTGTAGAATTACCATTGTCAACAGAGATGAGAAGGAGCCTGAACAAAAAAATGATGTAAGACTAGAAGCTAAACAGAACTAATATGCAACAGATTGGATTAAAATTACTAAAGAGGAACCATTACCATGGTCTGCAAGTGCATAGGCACATTCCTGAAAGGATACATGTGTATGGAGGAAAAAAAGTGTAAAGGGAGATCATCAAAGTAGCATGCAGCTTAGAATTAATTCAAATTCATGAAAAAAATAGCATGGATCTTCATTTGTTCAGGAGTTGTTCTGAACATCCAGTTTACTTCTGGCTACATAGTGAAGCATATGCCACATCTATCTCTTTATATACCTCTCTCAGAATTTAATCTTCACCAACAGTCTATATTAATCTGGTTTATTTCATCTCTCCATGGATGAATTCTGAGGGGCTTTTTTCTCCCAGACAACTTTGCGATGTTCCTCAGAGTCTTGTAGTTCTTTCTGACTGTGAGCAAAGTCCTAGTATGAGCAGTGCTTCAGAGACCATCCATATTTTGAAGACAAAAATATAGAGGGATGAACAAGCAGGATGTGAATGTAAATTTATTTACTATATAATCTGTCCCTGATGGAATATTTCAGGCTTGGCATGAAGAATCTTGTGTCTCACACGAAAAGACTAACCAGTGTCTTTCCATTACCACCATTCTTCAGGGTAGTGACATTGGTGCAGTGGAATTAGTCATAGGCACTCTTCAGTGTAAGCTTTCCGTAATGGAAATATAACAAACTGTCCTAAATTGTCTGAAATCAAAAAAGCACTAAGCATGGTCCTTGTGATGTATAAAAGTCACTTGCATAATTTGATAGTTCAAAATAAAGAATACTAATAATATGTTTCTAGTTTTGGAAAGGTTTGAATAAAAGATGCAGAACAGGAACATTCCATAATTAGACACAGCATTCACATTGTGAGATTATTCTTATTCCAATCTGAATTATGCCACATTATATTGTAAATGTTGTAGGGCAAAGGAATATTACCACACACATGCAGGATGACCATGCTGATCTTCAAGGAAAAATTTCAATTTGTGATTATTCCACAGTGTTTCTTCACTGGGAAGGGAATTACTGGACTACAGTCACATTCTGAAGAAAAGGTGAAATAAATTTCATCTGATGTCCAGAGACATCAACTGACTGTCTAGAGAGCAGCTTTGCAGAAAAGCAATTGGATATGCATAAGCAGCAAGCCCTTTCAGCAATGAAGGCTCATTGCATTTTTGGTTGCATTAGCAAGAATTCAGTTAGCATATTGAAGCATTTATAAGGCTATATTTGGAATACCACCTCTATTGTCCATACACACCCCTGCCTTGCCCCAGTCACTGTACAACAGAGATCTAAAAAATTGTAGAGCCCAGCAGACAGTCAGTCCCTAAGATAGTCAGGGGGCTGGACCTGAAACCTAAGAAGAGAGGTTGAGGGAATTGATTTTGTTCATTACGGAGAGAAGAAGGCTAAAAGATGAATAATTGCATGACTCCAGCTGCCTAAACAGAGTTGTAGTCTTAGAGGGGCACAGTTGAAGCAAGTGGGAAAAAGTTGCAGCAAGATAAACTCTGTTTAGATGTACTGGAAAATGCTTCTTATTGATGATGCTTCAGCAGTGGAACAGGCTTCTTAGAGAGCTTGTCAAACTTCTGTCCTTGAAGATACTCAGAAATCACCCTGACACATCTGAACAACATGATCTAGCTTTGGAGTTGTCCCTGTTTTGGACAAGAATTTGCATTGAGAGACCACCAGAAGTACTCTACCATCAAAATTTTTCTTCAAGTCTATGATTTTTATTATATTGCTTTGCTGATTTGGGATACCAAGAAAAGCGTGATTTTTTTTTAAATTTGTGAAAGCAAGTCAACAAGTTCCCCAAACCCACAAGTCTTATTTTTTGTGCATTGCACAACAGAAACAACAGCTGCACATGCAGTACCCATCTGCAGACCTGACTAACAAGATTGAGTGATAACTTGAGACAAAAAACCCACCAGCTTTCATAAGGCCCTTTATGTGTCACTGTTTCTGTCCAACTGTAATTTGGTGAAGACAAAGCAGCATCCTGTGCCTCATCCTGAGAGGCTGGGTTGGTGATGTGGTAAGAGAGGCTGCTGCGTTATCGTAGCTTTTTTTGAGTAAATGTCAAACCGCATCCTGTTTTGCTAAAATTCAACTGCTGTTCCCTTAAAGACATATTTTCAAGCACATTTTGGCATATCACCTGCTCATTCTGAGGTACCATTTTCTGCCAAGGTCTTCAGAGTCATTTTCCCCTGCTGTTATGCTAGACAAAAGCTCCCTTCAGGGTCTCCACTCTATACCTCCTACTCCTTCTGCCTTGCTATTGCATTTTCAGATCTTCTGCTTCCAAAGCTCCACAAGCACTCCTCTACCTTGCTCTGCATTATTCCTACATCTGTTTAGGATACATCAGTACATAAAAGGTATGATTCTCTTCTCCATTTATTCCTGAGTGAGCTGCCACTGAATTAACAATTGTTTAATTTGTGGTATAAGGTAATATTGAGATGCAAAGTGGATGAAAAATCTCCAGAAACACTCTCCAGATTTAGTAATCCATTGGATTCACTGTTTATGGTGCACAGAAAAGGTACCCACAAATGCAGCTTTAAAGAACCACACTCTGATTCCCCTTCCTCCTCCACAGATTAGATTCTCTTCCCCATCTCTGAGTGATATCATTTGCTTTTCTTTATTTTCTTGTTTTCTTATTCTTCCTAATTTTATTTTTTCTTTGAAAGGTCCACACAATTTGATAATACTTCATCCATTATTTTGTGCAATATCTCCCTGGAATTCTTTCCCCCTTCTTTGTCTAAAACTGTCCCCTTCATTCTCACTGTCTGGTTCTCTTGAACATTGTAAGAGATATAATACAATTGTAGAAAACTGAATTTACATAAATATCAACTTGAAGACATCACTTTGTCCAAAATGGTCTCCTGTATGCTTAGAGTGAGTTATAACAAATGTGTACAGAGTAGAATTCTGTTCCTCTCCTTGGACCTAAGCATGAGTCCCATCACAAACATCCCATACAAAATAGTCTTGAAAATGAGCATAATGTACAAAAACTTTCCATCTGCAACCCTTCTCTGATAGTTTTCTGAAAAATAAGGGAGAAAGCTATAAAAATAAAAAACCACTGAGAAAACAAATTTTTCATTAGAAAACTTTACTAGGCAAGGCTTTTTTTCCATGCTGCTGATTAGGAGAACTTGTTTAGAGCTCATTTGCAAAAGTTATAACTTGACTGCCCTTAGCTGAAATATCATGTTAACTAGTAATTGCATTAGACTTTTCACATTCACACTGGTATGACTGATTTATACTTTTTGTGAAGTATGAGAAGTTGAGGGCAATGAAACTGTATTTGCAGTCTTTCTCATGGCAATATAATTTGTACCAATTCTGCAATATATTTAAGGAGGTAGCATTCTGCAGACTGTGGAGTCAGTGACTTAGCAAAATGTTCTGCTTGCTAGAATATCAACATACATCTTTATGCTACAGGTAGGTCTGATGTGTTCTAGCAGCCAGTCTCATCAAAGATTTCATATGAGCAGATAGAATTTGGGTTTTCACATCCATGCTCATGTATCCAGCAAGAACATGAATGCACATGTCAACACGTGCAATTCTGCACCTGTGCAGACATCTATGAATAGCTGTGCCTGCCAGCACAAACAAACACAGGACACATTGAGACACATGAACATAAGTCACATCTCTCTTTGCATCCACAGCTGCATATATAGATAAAAAAACTCACTGTCAAGAGAGGAAAATATGAAGGGCTTTGCTTTGTAGAAATTGCAATTAAAAAAAAAAAAGACAAGAAAAGAAATAGGAAATATTATTTGAGTCCAGATATGTATCAGCCCCTCCTTTCAAGTGGTCTGTTTGCATGATCACATGTATAATAGGGTGTGGGGGTGGGGAATGAGAATTACATGGCTCATAGGAAGCTTGGAGAAGAACAGAACTGGATTCCTAAGCTTGATCTCAATTTCAGGGATTGACAGATCTGAGTTCAGTGTAGGAGCATCCTTTTTATTCCAGAACCTCAAAGGAAGTGTCTGTTATTTGTCAGATTTTTTTTCTTACATCGATCTGTTTAGTTGTGTCACTCCTGCAAAATGTAACTTGTCTGCTCCTGAACACCTATCCTCAAATTTGAAGTGCTGGAATGGGTCCAGAGAAGAGCAATGATTCTGGTGAAGGGACTCGAGCACAAGTGCTATGAGGAGAGGCTGAGGGAGCTGGGGGTGTTTAGCCTGGAGAAGAGGAGGCTCAGGGGAGACCTTATCACCCTCTACAACTCCCTGAAAGGAGGTTGTAGTCAGATGGGGGTTGGACTGTTCTCCCAGACAACCAGCAGTAGGACAAGAGGGCACAGACTCAAGCTCTGCCAGGGGTGGTTTAGGTTAGATATTAGGAAGAGATTTTTTACGGAGAGAGTGATCAGGCATTGGAATGGGCTGCCCGGGGAGGTGATGGATTCATTGTCCCTGGAGGTTTTTAAGCTGAGACTGGATGTGGCACTTAGTGCCATGGTCTAGTAACCACAGTAGGGTTGGACTTGATGATCTTGGAGGACTTTTCCAACACAGTTGATGCTATGATTCTATGATTCTATGATTCTTATGTGTTCCAGCCTAAGCTGGAATTGTTTTTTAATGTTCTATTCTCCTGTGCTCTAGTCTACTCTAACATTATAGAGCAAAAATTATGAGGCATCTTTGGAAAAAAAATCATCATATGAATCCAACAAATTCTCTTGTTGTCTACTTTTGTCACACTCCCTGAAATGTGCCCCTTGCACAACCTTCTCATGATTCCCACTAACTGAGAACTGTTGCTTTTGTTTTTTCTCCAAAGTACTGGATATTGGCAGAGCACGGACTTACAGGGTAATATCAAAACTACTCACACCAATCCTGGGCTGATGTTCAGTGGTAACCATGTTAAATCTTTGTTACCGTTTTAAATTTTTTTTTTTCAGTGTAGTAGCCAAATTACAGCATAAAAGCAACCCTAATTTCTCTGTCAGTAGGCAAGCAATTTATTGTCTGGTGCTCTAGTTTGACATCAGTATCCTCGCAATTTTTAGGAATCACTATATGTTATGTAAAGTCCAATCTCTTTTATTTGGACCCACTCTTGTTTTCCTTCTCTCCAGCCTCCACATATTTTGCTAGTTGCTCATGAACACTTGCATGTACTTCCCAGTCCTTCATCTTTTCATGGACTCACATTCTGTTTGGATAAGACAGTGGGAGATAGACTGCATGAATAAGAGGGAATAATAAGATTAGCTCATTATGTAGACAATTTAATTCTGAGGCAAAGACTTGGCCATTCACACAATTCATTACTGCTGGAATAGAGCCAGAAGACTCAGTGAACACTGAGTAGAGTCTCTGGGAGTTCTGCATTGTAGTGACAGTATATATTCTTCCAGAATGCACTTATCTGATGTGAGGTCTCTTCTTTGGTCTTGTCTCATCCTTCTCACTCCTTTTAGTTGCTTGCTTGGTAGCTTTCTTCACAGTTTTATTAATCTGAGAAAATGCCCCTAAAATGACCGGACAAATTTAGTGATTGGTTAAATTGTCCCCTTCTTCTTCACAGTCCCTGCTGTTTCCTTCTTTCTTAACATGCCTTTCCTGAAACACTATCTTTAGTAAAGCCCTGCTGACTCAGACACTTTCACTTTTTTTTTCCTACCTAGAAGAGTGAGCCATGTTCCTTTCTCAACATACAGTATTACTACTGGCCTTCAAATAAAAATTGCCTGAGAAGCTTGTTCAATCTTCCTGCTCCTTATCAACACAAAAGTTCTCTTTCCTAATCTACCATTTCCAGAATAGCCACTCCTGAAATACTCCCCATCCCTGAAAAGAGTTGTACTAGCCCCTGGAGATACATTATGCTACTTGACTTATTTCAGTGTCTACAGCATTGAAATACCAGGGCCATGGGGAAGATCCTGTTCCATCCTACCTTATGGTCCTTCACTCTCTTTGCTTCCCTTTCTTTCAAACTTAACAAAAAATATTTTCATTTTATCTATTTTGACATTAAGTATCCTCTTCCCCATGAACCTACAAATACTGCATTAATGCATGGGTTTTAGCACAACCCTAACTTCTAAATGTCCCAGAAAATAGCTTTTCTTTTTTTAGGCCACTTGTTGTCATATATCCTACCATTTTGCAGTCCAGCAGACTGAAGCGTAATCCCACAGCCTGACATTTGCCTTCATCCCTTACTTAATTCTACATAATTCTAAATCCCTTACCCATGGACTATCCTTCCTGTAAGTCACAAAATAATCAGGTGTTTAACCCGCAAAATCTGTTTTCTCCTCTCCCATAATCAATGTTTTGACTGCCTCAAGTGGTGAGGGACCCAAACCTAGGTACCCTTTTCAAAGTAAAGTTTTATCACAGCAGCCAGAAAGAATTTCTACTGTACACATTTCTTGGGAGATGTTGCTTCAGATATGCAAATGATGGCTCCCACAGGAAACTCAGTACCTATAGCATGTGCTAACAAAAATGTTTGTCAAGGAAGGTGCAAGAGAAGTGACAGATACACTCAGCTTTGCTGTCAGACTCTGCTTATCACTCAGAGTAGTCAGTGTGGTCTGTTGCCTGAATTTGAGGGAAACAACAAGAAAACAGTACCTATTTTTTGTAACAGTGTTAAGGTTTTGTAGCGTCAAGGACAAAGTAGCCTCCATTAACTCCTCTGTTACCTCTCTCTCCTTGCTCCAACCCCCATCTGCTGTGATCTAGGAAATTTTGGGCACAGGACTTCACCAGCTGGGAGGAGTGTGGAGCTGTTTATTTTCTGTTCTCAGGACCCTGGAACTCTGGCTTGTGTCAACAGATAATTTTCCCCTATTCCATGTCACACTTGGCACAGAAATTCCTCATCAGCATTTTTTGCCTCCTTCAATTTGGAATATATCCTTTGTCTTTTTGTTTAAAATGCTGTTTCTCAAGTATATTAGTCCTTTGTTTTGATTTTCAGACAGCAATATCTTGCCATCAATCCGTCTCCTCCTACTAAAATACAGAATTAGAACTCCCTTATTTGTCCCTTAATCTATGTTTCCATTTCTGAACAGAGTGTTAGTTTCTTGATCTGTAAGTTAGCTTACAATTTTTACCTCAAGAATCAAAACATCTTCTCTCTTATAGGGGGTCCCCCACTCATACCGTGTCTGTGTTTCTCTTTAGGGGTTTTTTTCCCCCTTCTCCTGTATCATTGTGTATTTTCTTGAATCTTTCAAAAGCAACAATTACCTACATGGTATTTTACAATGATCAGGGAAAACATGGCAAAAAATACTTATGAAAATAACAATTGCAACTGTAATACTGATCATCTCTCTCACTGATACATAAAGTAACTTACACATGATTTGACTAAAATAGAAAATATAGGTATAAAAAACAATTGAAAGGAAAAAATTCTTTCTGGGCTTCCTTTGTTCTATTTCAAACATACTTTGTAAACAACATTTTCTTAATTGTAGCAGTCAGCTTGGTTTCTCCTCCAAACTGCAGTGGCTCTGTGTAAGCACAACTAAAAATTATTGCTAAAAGTAGATAAGTGTCCAAATGGCTGAAATTGTTTCCCTGTGCTGATTGAGTTTGTGTAATGGAGAAGGCATCTCAAATTTCCTTCTTAGTAGGGAAGCAAATGCTAAGACTTTATGTGAATTATTATGGGACATTAGTTGAGGATATAAAAAAGTGTTCCTTTTCAAAAAATCGTAGAATGGTTTGTGTTGTAAAGGACTTTAAAGAACCTCCAGTTCCATACCCTCCTGGCATGGATACTCTCTTCTAGACCAGGTCATTCATGACTTGTGAATGTGAGACCCGTAAAGGCATTTTTGCAAAAAGTAGTTTTCAGGAAACACTTCTCCTTTTTGTTTGAAACAGCCATGACACTACATAAATAACCTCTGTAATGAGATCACCAAATAAATCTCTTTGTTCAACATGATAATTTCTCCTGCTCTGAAGAGTTTTGAGGAGATTAAAGGAATGATAAGCACAGAGTAGGAAAAATAACTCTGTTTTATAGGATTATACACATCTGCCCTTTATCACTAAGATATGCCTTTTTTTCTTTTAATGACATTAAACAAGATATGCCAGATTCCTCTCAAATTTGTCGTAAGATCCTTTTGAAACAAACAAATGCATTAACTGAAAGGCAACTTTTAATCTATTCACCAAATTTTTATTCAATACCACAAATGAGTCTGGTGCCATCACCAAGCTAACCTCAAGTAGGAACATAGTGAGAGAAAAAGCAGCCACCATGCCTCTGCAGAGAGGGTGCCACTTCTCGTCTGGCTAGTGTTCAGTTTCCTTCCCTACCACCTTTGAATTTCACATCTGTTTTGGCTAGAAATCAGCCACTGGATTGTGAAAGCCTCTGGAGCCTGAAGACCCACTCTGGTTGTTGGTACACAGTGTCAGTACTGGATTAATCTTCTACTGTTCCCATAGCAAGTAAATTATTCCTAGAAGGATAGCCAGTGAATGACCTTTAATGTGAGCTCCTTATGCCTCTACTCATCACTGAAAGTTGTGTGGTAGGACATTGTTACTACAAAAGACCAAATTAAAAAAACAACAACTCATGCTTTTTCAATGGAAAAGAAGCTAAAACTTTATTCCTAAATCAAGGAGCTGAGTTCTCAGCCTCTGAGCATTAAGGAGGTGTTAGTTTTAAAGATACGATACAATACAATATGGAAGTACAGGGAAAACCTAGCAGTGATTACAACAATGTGGAGAACAGGAGGGAGGCAGAGAATCATCAAGAAATAATATTCACAAGTTCTTAGAAGCATAGATCTTTTGCTGTGGAAAGGTAGACTGTATAACTTGCTGGGTTCCTGCTCATGTGATGAAGAGGGCTCTTCATTTATTCTCTCTGCAACTTGCCAGCAGCCTAAATGAAAAAAAACCAGAATAATCAACTACTACTACTGCTACTAGTAATAATAATTTTTTTTTCAAAACCAAACCACCAAGCAAAAGAAACAAATACAGAAATTGACTGGATGACTGTGCCCAATGAATTGCAGTCAATGGGTCAATGTACAAGTGGAAACCAGTAATGAATTGTTTCCCTCAAGAGTCTGTACTGGGGCCAATACCATTGAGAACCTTCATCAAGGTGTCATTGATAGTCGGAATGAATGCGCACACTGCAAATTCTTTGAGGGAAGGGATGTCTTCCAGAGGGACCTGGACAGACTTGAAGAGTGGGCCCATGTGAATTCTGTAATCACTGGGATCAGTACAGACTCTGGGATGAATAGCTTGAGAGCAGTCCCCTGGAGAGGCAATTTCATCCACTGGTGGATGAAAAGTTGTATTTCAGTCAGCCATATGTACTTGCAACCTAGATGGCCAACCATATCCTAGGCTACATCAAAAGCAGTGTCGCCAGCAGGTCAAGGGAGGTGATTCTGCCCCTTTGCTCTGCTCTCATGTGACCCCATTGACCCCACCTGAAGTAGTGTCCAGCCCTGGAGTCCGCAGTACAAGAAACACTTGGACATTTTAAAGCTGGTCCAGAGGAGGGCCACAAATGGGCAGAGGATTGGTATGAAGACAGGCTGAGAATAACCCCTCTTCAGACTGGAAAAGAGAAGCCTCTGGGGAGACCTTCTTGAGGCCTTTCAATACACAAAGTGGTTTATAAGAAAAACAGAGATATTTTGTCAAGGCCTGCAGTGACAGCGGAAGAGCCACTGATTTTAAACTGATACAGGGAAGCTTCAGATTAAAGGAAGAAATTTGCTATAGTGAGGGCAGTGAGACACTGGAACAGGTTGCCCAGAGAAACTGTGTATGCCCCATCCCTGGAAGTGTTCAAGGCCAGGCTGGATAGGGCTTTGAGCAACTCAGTCTGGTTAAAGAGGTTCCTGCCCATGGCATAGGGTTGGAACTAGATGATCTTTAAAGGCTCTTTCCAACCTAAACCATTCTGTGATTCTACGATTGTGATCTTGTAAAGTACAAATCTACTCTCTCTAGTATCCTTGGAACAGAACCAACAAATATAATTGAGATTGTATTCATACTTGCCCTCAACTCTACCAGGTCACTTTTCAAATACATTTCCCTGTCCTGCTTTTAAAGGAACAAGTCCTGAGGCTTCCTCTGTTCTTACTGGGTATAGCTTTCAGCCTATTGAGAAACTTACTAGAAAAAAGTATTTCCTGCCAGCTAGTTAATCTTCTCCCATTTGTTCAGATTTATCCCACTGTTCTTTGTAAATCGTTTTAAATGTTTGTTCAGATTTATCCCCCATATTGCCTCAAAAAAACCTTTTCATTATTTTCACTGCAGGCATAAGTCCCTTTTCAATTGTTACAGAAAAGTATGGTATATCTGATACTTCCCTTCTTTACTTTCTGGGGAACCTGTCTTTAATTATCATATTTTTCATGTGCATAAAGAGAATTTTGAGAAGGAATTTCTCTGCTAGATAGCATTTATTTCATCTGAGTTCTGGAAAAATAGTAACAGGAAACTTATCACTTGTGATTTTTCACACTAGACTGCACAAAGCCTGGCAGAGCACATGGAGGACAACCACACATCTGAGAACGGATTTAGTCTGTATCCACTGACTTTGTACTAGTAAGTTCAAGATTCAAATGGCACACTAGCTTACCTTGGATGTCCACACCAGACTGCTCACCAAAACTGCATAGATCAAGGCTTTGCCACAGAGAATGAGGTAAGTGAGCTTCACAGAATTTCCATACCGCAAGTACGAATCTGCAAATCAAACATCATTTGTGTATTGGATTATCATCATCATGAGAGACTAGATCTAATGTAGCTTTGATCAAATATCAATGCTTGAAATCTTTAGCTAAGCGACACAAGGGAACTAGAGCCAAATGAATGGCTATATTGACACAAGATAGCAGGAGATGGGAATGGACATTGTGATTAAAAGAACCAAAAGACAAAGCAAGTCTAGGAATGACACAGATTGGCTTTATGCTAAGATAGTACTGTGTTGCCACACCTACTGACAAACTAGGCTGTGTGAATCCTCTCTTAGGAATGCAAAATAAGCTGTATTACAAGATAGTGCTTTTTTTTCTCTCATTATTGTCAGTGACCTTATGGGTACTGCTGATGTATCAGGGAAGTTTTACACCATCCAGAATAACATGGGATCTGGAGCTTTTATTCTTGTAGATTTTTCACTCTTAAGGAGTTACAGTAGTATTGAGATAACCGCTTGATCTTGGTTCAGCCTTAAGATTCTTGAAGCATCAAAGAAGTTGATGAATAACAGGAGTGTGCAAATATGTATACATAGAGGAACGAAATGTAATGTTTAATATCGATATCCTCACAGTTTGGAGTGGGATATTATTTGTCATGAGCAGTATTCTGAATTTAATACTAAGAAATATTCAGAATTCCAGATTCTGAAACCTGATGGATAAATATGAATCATTTATTTTATGGCTGAGCAAGAATCTTCCCACAAGAAGACAGTGTTAATGACTGGAGGAGATGATGAATAGCAAATTACACTCTATAGGAAGGTTCCACAATTGCTTCTATCTTTCACAAAAGGGATTTGTAAGGAAGAGCTAAAAAACAAAAACACAGCTACATACAGTATTCACATACAATCCTCTCAAAGTATTTTCTTCTTTTATTAAAAGATCTGACATACTTAGATGAGTAAGTAGAAGTTATTCTGATCGTAGAAATCTCGCACACCCTGTACTTAGTGTCAGTAAAACTAGAATTAAAATACATTTTGCCTGTGAGAAGACGCACATACCTTCTGTGAGTGCACAACCTGAAAGACAAAAAAGAACTGAAAGTCACGTTTCTCTTCAAAGCAAATAGAACACAGATTTTAGAAGTTTCAGTTTACAAAATACTGCTTGATTCATTTTACTATACTATATATTTTATCATGCTACACATTTAACTATACTACAGAGACTTCTCAGTTACAATCTGAAGAAACTATCGACTTCTAATGCTAATGTAGATATACAGGCCCAGGAATATGAAGAGACATATGTTAATACCCACATATTTAGATATGTATTTGTGCCATAACAACACCCTGTATAGAAGCTGCATATAGACAACACACACTCTTTAGATTTGCAATTTCTAGTTTGTACAGCATGATGATACACTTTTTCTTTTTTTACTCACCAGCATCACCATAGATAAATTTTTGTATTGATTCCAATCCTCCATTCTGAAAAAAAGTGGCAACACACTCAAAACGATTCAAGGGGTTGAACCATTCCCAGGCTGGGATCCTCAGTCTGCTGGTCAGTGAGTAGGTACTGCCATTCCGTGTGGAGAACTCATCTGTCCCCACCCCTGCTGTCCTCTGAATGCCATTCACCATCCAGATCAGAGTCAGGTGGTCAGGGTAGAAACCAGAGGCCAGGCATACCAGCGTGGCCTTGCTCTTCTGTTGTATCTCCTGCTTTGATGGGGAAAATATGGCCACAGCTGGAGGTATGATTTCCTCGTTCTTCTCTGAAATGAAATGCAATATGGCCCGGAGCCTCCATTACTCTGTTCAATTAGAAACCCCTTAAAATTGTACTGTATTTGTGCTGTGCTACTCCTGATATACCTGGCCTTTTAACAACTGTCTATAGACAATTCATATCTATTAGATATTAGACACCAGGAAACTGAAAGCATTTGTTTGTACAGAAATATAAAAGGTCTGGCTACAGAAATGCATGAGTACTTGAATTTCTAGTATTGCCTCTGTCAGAAGAATGGGAAAGTTGAAAAAAAGCTGAGCAGAAAAGTACCCAATTGTACCATAAGGCCTGTATTTGTAATATTGTATTGATAGATAAGGGACTGTGTTATAAAGCACGAGCATCTTCAACAGACTGAGTTACATTTCCAGAGATGTAATAGAACATGATGGTCATTGCAGAGTTCAGAATTATACTGTCATGTGATACCCTACTTGGACCCCCATCTAAGAGATGACTTCAAAGGAAGGAGCTAATCTTTCTCATTGTTTGAAGCAAAGAACATTTGAGGTAGGTAATGTGAATCTGCCTGGGACAAGTTTTGGATTAGGTCTTGCCATCATTTTTGAAGACTATTAACTATCTCTTTATGTAATTTATTATTTAGGTTTCCCTAGGTATGAAAAGCCCTCATCCTAGGCTACATATCTTCTCAAAATGATACAAGATTCTCTACACTCACAAACCAAAAGTTGTCCCCTGTTCTAAAGTGTTTAGTACCTACATATAAGACTAGTGAGAACAGACTTCAGTCCCAAGGATGTACAAGGTAGCAATGAGAACTTACTCAGAAGGTAAGCCAGGTCCCTAAAAGCCAGGTTTTTTCCCCAGGTATTTTATTAGAGTACCTTTTTAACTCATCTAGCATGATAAACCCAAAAGGTCTGCAGAGTGCTTGTGGAAACAGAAATGCAGAGAGAATTATGGAGCCAAAGAGTGATCTATTATTGTTCTTTCAGTGTGAAGACACTATACATTGTAGATGTTCTTTCTGATTACTCTCACCTTTGTAGAGTAAGAGAGTTAGCAGAATTAGCAGAAATTTATATATTGCATAGATCTTGTCTCCTAAGCCTTGTGTTTGCATTCAAATGTTACCTTTATTTGCATTTGCCAGTATTTACTCTACAAAAACCCCTGGGGTAATTCTGCAAAATGTGTGAGCTTGTACAGACTTTAGAAGTGGTACCTAGATATCAATTGAGCTAACTCCCTAGAAAGTTTGACGTGGCTCCACTTTTCTTCCAGTGGATATGAGGAGAGGCTGATCACTTTTACTGCTCCCTTCTAGCATTTGGCTTTATGATTTCTTGTTTCCTATCCTAAAAGTATCTCTGACAAATTCATTGGCTCATAGACTAAATGGCTAATGAGTGAAGAGATGGAAGCAGATAGAAGGACACAGAAGAAATATGAGAGAGATTTAACTGACTAAACCAAAAAAGGACAAAGAGAAGTAGATGAAAAAGGCAGACAGAAAGAATGATAAAACCACAGGAAAGACAAAGCAAGCAGAAAATGAACATCCTTTAAATGGAATAAGGAGACTGCTAAAAGCAAGAACAGAAACAATCATGAAAAAGTGTTACTAACAGCCCATTATGTTCTGATTGTCCACACTTCTTATGGTAGACACTGTCACAAAGCTTCATCTCATGCATAAACTCATGCATTCCCTGTCACGCATTCTTCACCCACCTAAAAGTACCACAGTTCTTCCATTCCCATCATGGCAAGGTCAGTTTCATCATTTATTGTTATCTTTCTCTCCTAGTCTCATTTTAAAATCACCTGTTTATATGCTGCATATCATTAATGCAAGGGAAATTTTTAAGTGTCCTCCACATTGAACACTTGGGTTAATCACAGCTACTTACCTATAACTCTGAGCACAGTTCCAGCTCCAAAGGTAAGCAGCCCAGTTACACGGCTGTACACAATCAGGCTATAACCTGCAGTGTCATTATGCTTTTCCTGCCAGTCACTTAGTTCCCTAAAATGGTACTGGCTAATGAGCAGGCACCAGTTTGTATTTCTGCAGCTTGCTACCAGATGTGGCAGTAGCAGAAGGAAAAAGTTACTTTGCCCTGTGATTCCATAATGCCTTAATAAAGGTTATGCTAAATCCTTTCCTGGGAGAGGAGAAGGCAGAGAAAGTAAATGGGGAAAAGGAGACAACAGAGGAGAAAAATGCACAGGGCAAAAAAGAATATATTCCTTTTTTGATAATTAGAAGTTGTGAAAAGGTCTCCTAGTGGAAGCCAGTGTCCCAAAGCAACTCTAGGCAGCCTGCCCACTCTATGGAGAGGCAAGCAAAGTACCAGCAAGACTGCTCTTTCACTGCCTGATTTAGCACACAGGAGAATACAGATCTGAAATGTTGCTTTTGATCGTTAGGTACATGAACAGCAAAAACCTGAAGACTGGAGAAGCATTTTTCATTCCCAAACTCTATAATGTTTTCTTGGACAATGGGAGGAAATAGAATTATTTATTGCTTTCTCCCTCTATGAATTTTCCAATAAGGAAAGAAAAAGGCTACAGACACAAGGATCTCAGCATTTGTACCTGCAAATCCTACACTTCCCTATTAGAACATCTCATTTTATTAAGCAACCAAAAAAGCATTAATCCAGTCCTCATGGCTGTATGAAAAATTGTCATTATTCCACTGTTAATTAAGAATGTTCTTGTCTCCTAAAACAGTATTACATATATCACAGAGATCTTACTTCTGACTTACCTATGACTGTGAGTTTTGTACCAGTGCCAAAGAATAGTTTCTCATTATTCACACTGTTTGGAAGCTGCAGAAAAACCTCTCATCTACTCTCAGTCCCCTAAGCCAAAGGTGTGGACTAACCCCTTCTTCGTGCAGTACCAGTAAAAGAAGAAACAAAGTACATGAGTGTATGGTCCCCTGAAAACAAAGGTCCATAAGGGAACACCACCACATCTGCATGTTTAACCAGCTGAGATCAATATCAGAAATCCTACACTTCCATATTAACACATCTCATTTTATTAAGCAACCAATAAAGCATTAATCCTGTCCTCATGGCTGTATGAAAAATAATCATTATTCTGTTGTTAATTAAGAATGTTCTTGCCCTCTAAACCAGTATCACAAAGATCTGACTTCTGACTTACCTATGACTGTGAGTTTTGTCCCACTTCCAAAGAACAGTCTCTGGTTGTTCACACTGTTTTCCAGCTGCAGAAAAACCTCTCCTCTACTCCCAGTCCTCTAAGCCAAACCTTCTGACTTTGACTGTGAGTTTTGTCCCACTTCCAAAGAACAGTCTCTGGTTGTTCACACTGTTTTCCAGCTGCAGAAAAACCTCTCCTCTACTCCCAGTCCTCTAAGCCAAACTTACATGCTAACCATCCCCCCACCCTGCCATGAGGTACCAGCAAAAAAAGAAACACAAAGTACATGAGTGTATGGTCCCCTGAAAACAAATGTCTGTAAGGGAACACCACCACGTCTGTGTGTTTAACCAGCAGAGATCAATACCAGAAATCCTACACTTCCATGTTAGCACATCTCATTTTGTTAAGGAATCAGTAAAGCATTAATCCTGTCCAATAAAGCATTCATCCTGTCCTCATGGCTGTAAAAAAAATTGTCGTTATTCTTCTGTTAATTAAGAATGTTCTTGTCCCCTAAACCAGTATCACATATGTCACAGAGATCTGACTTACCTATGACTGTGAGTTTTGTTCCACTTCCAAAGAGCAGTTTATCATTATTCACACTGTTTTGCAGCTGCAGAAAAACCTCTCCTCTATGCTCAGTCCTCTGAGCCAAATCTGTGGACTAACCCTCCCCTCATGCAGTACCAGTAAAAGAAGAAACACAAAGTACGTTGGTGTACGGTCCCCTGAAAACAAAGGTCGGTGAGGGAACACCACCAAGTCTGTGTGTTTAACCAGCTTAGATCAATATCAGAAATTCCCTGTCCAGAGCCCTTTTGCCTTGGGCTTAGGTGAATCAGTTGTTGCTGCTTTCACCATTTCTTTAGAGGATCTATTCATCTAGATGTAATATTACAAAATATTCCCCATATGCAGACTGAAAGATTTGCTTATTCTCAACTAAACATTTCCTTAATTTCTTCATTTTTTCAACTTCATGAATATTCTTCTCTTGTAAAATAAATACCTTTTATTTTTACTTACAAAGTAGTTTTTAATTTATAGCACAGAGTCCTAAAACACTCTCCCCATTGTAGCAGTCCCTGAACATGCCTCCCTTTCTCCTTCCCTGGAAGGAAGTTTCTGCTTTTGCATCTGTCAATTTATTAAGACAATATTTTTATGATATGCACATATTTTTAACCCATTCCTCATCCTAATTCTTTCTATGGACAGCTTTTTATTCACTGAAAATGCATTTATTCAGTTCTCCAAAATGAAATGTGTGTCCCTACCTAGAGTTAGTCTATTCTCCAAAGTAGACTGGGTTACTGGCACATCAGGAGAACACCAGTTTAGTAATGAAAGGGAGAATAATGATGAAGTTCTCCAAAGAGAAAACATGGGATTTGAAGTAAATCAAAAGAGAAAATAACAATTTCTTACCCATTACTGTAAGTTTCGTGCCATCACCGAAAACCATGTTAGCCATATTCACAGTGACAAAATGTTGTATCATAAGCTAAGAAAAAGGATGCATTGCAGTTGACTTACTATAAGCAGAAGCTTAAGCAATGTTTACTGTATTTAGAATACCAAATATCAGTCAATCTCTGTCTGAAAGGGTCTGACAGAAAACCAGCTTGAAATTTATTGCACAATTTGTAGAATTCATAAAAACATTTCCCAGAGTTTTTTGATACTTACTGTCTACATTTCACCTCAAGTTGTTTTTGCATCCTTTCTCCAGTCTCCATGTCACATCATTGATGTTACCTGCTAATTCTCATTCTGCAGATCTCAAAACCATGCAGGCATACCAAAGGCTGTCATTGTCTAGAAATAGAATTCCTCTACATCTAAATCTTCATTACTGTCAGTCTTGCACTCTAAGTATTGTGAAGTCTTCCTTTCTGTTACTTGCGTAGTTAATAATCAAATAATGCTTTGTGGTTGTCATAGTCAAATGTCTTTTCACACAGGTGGTTTGCCTTTGACAAACTAAAACAAGTCCATTTGTTTTCCCTTCCATTGCAGGCCTGTTGTCTTGAATAGTCTTTCAGGATGCCATTCAATTTTTTGATATATTAAAAAAATCCACACAAGGAGACCCCAGAAGAATGAGTTAACTGGTCTCAGACAAACCCTTGATATCCATTAGGAGGGACTGCAGTGAAACTGTGTGGAGAAGGATTGGAGGCAACCTTTGTGCTCAGAGGCATGAGTCAGTGGGTGGACACTGGAGGCTTATTTAAGAGAGAAAGCTCCAATACATTTTATATAGTGTCTCTGAGAGATACCTGCTACATGACAGAATTCTTTTCCTAACACTTTTATCACATTAGACCATTTTGTCTATTGCTAACATTGGTGCATCGGAAAAAAAAAGTAATTTTCTTCTTCACATACTCTGATAGGCCATAGGTGTAACTGCCATCAATTTAGTTTGCTGAAAATTATTTCAATATCTCATAATTTCCTAGTTTGCTTTCCAGAGAGGGCAGTCCTTGCATACTAGGTCTGTCAAGAGAAAACAAGGCAGAACGTGCCCCCTGTGCTGCAGAATTCTCTGTACCTGTCTTAACGCTCTCCCACGAGACTTAAGCACATATGGGTTTTTGTAAAGGCCTTTTGGAAAATGTATCATCGTGGTCCCCCTGTCCCCACAATGATACAAACTCATACAAAAACAATCCCACCCATGGCTCCACCCTCCCATTTTTGTCAAACAGTCACGGTAAAAGATTGTCATGGGAACCTGTGATGGTTTTGTTTATGGTAGAGTTAATTTTCTTCACAGCGGCTAGTATGAGGCTGTGTTCTGAATTTGTGCCAAACATAGGGTTAATAATATAGAGATGTTTTTGTTATTGTTGAACAGATCTTACACATAGCCAAGGCCTTTTCTGCTTTTTGTACTTGCCACACTGACAAAAAGACTGTGGGTGCATGGGAGGAGACACAGTGGGGACAGCTAACCCAAACTGACCAAAGGGATATCCCACACCATATGACATTGTGCTCAGTGTATTAAATTAGTGGAAGAAGGAGGAAGTGGGACATTTGGAGTGGTGGCATTTGTCTTCCCAGGTCACAGTTAGACATGATGGAGCCCTGTTGCCCTGGAGGTGGCTGATCACCTTCCCACCCATTGGAAGTAATGAATTAATTCCGTGTTTTTCTTTGTTTGTGCAGCCAGCTTTGGCTTTACTCATTGAAATGTCTTTATCTCAACCTATGGGTTTTTTCATTTCTGCTCTTCTGATCCTCTCCCCAGTTCTGCTGGTGGGGGAGTGAGCATCTTCCTGGGGCTTGGTTGATGGCTGGGGTTAAACCATGACAGAACCACAGGCCACATCCTTCCTTTGCCGTTTCTGTTTCTGTGTGATAGCCTGATTACCTCTTAGTGCATCCATTATCCCTGAGTTTATAATCCCAAAGTTTTTTTCTTATAGTCAAAAAAGTAATGCTTTTATTTTTTGTTTTATTGGTTGGTTTTAAATGTTGTTATTTTTCGCTTGGTAACATTGTAACAGTGATCATGCTGATTTCCTTCGCACTCTTTCTTCTGCTCCAGGATGACAAATAGACCTCAAACTCACAGTAACTGGTTTGCAGTGAGAGTGATTTGCTTACTACAGGTTGGTGTTTTTGCTTGTAGCCTGGTCTTGATTGAGGTGTCCTCTTTGGTCTGTGCTGTGCTTGTCACAGCTGCTCTGAAAGAGGGGGAATTAGGATGCTGAGTTCTTAAGTTTGTATTCCTCTGGTTGCCCTGTTACAGGAAGCAGAAGCATGAGCTTCTCTGAGGACCTGTGACTCTGCCTACGAAAAGGCTTCATCTAGGAGTAAGAGTGAGCCTTCATTCTGCAGACTGTCTGAAGGGGATAGGAACTGATGGTGACAGGTTAACAGGCTACTTTCATCTCCCTTCCTTACACATAACTGGCCTAGTCTCACACAAAACGTCAACACGTAGTCATCAACATAACCAAGTAACCGCAGTAAACAAGTTGTTCATATTGCTCTTTAATGGCTTCACTTGAGTCTGCCTGGATATAAAAAATAGGCTGCAAAACACAGGACACAATCCTTTGAAAAAAGGTCATTCTACAAGAAAAATCACAAATTATTTTTTGTTGTTTTCAGATATCACAGAAGAACCCATAATTTCTGATACAGCCTGTTCAGCTGAGAACAACTGTTAATGTCCCTGGGAAGGGAATGAGAAACTTGGAATAAGTCAAGACATCTAGGACCAAGACAGAAGGCAAGGTATTGGACAAGTCATCTCAAAATGCCCCTAGGTCAGAATGCTCCTCTCTTCTACAACAGTAAACTGGGTGCTTAAGTCAGTAATTATGAGAATGACAAAGACATTTGTCTTTGCTTAGATTGTATTGTTTTGAAAAATACATTTAGGATTTTATTTGTCTGCCACTGCCTAAATAATAACACTAATAGCGGGATATTATTTGCTGCCTGGGTCTTAGCCTGCCTCTGATTTCAGCACTGTTTATTCAGGGTCTAAATCCATTGTGCTAAAATTCATTTAAGATTATTCTGTCTCCATCTCCAGTTTACATATGCATTAATGTCCTTACTGTCACTAACAGACTCTCTCCCATATGGTGTCTTTCGTTTAAAAATCACCTCTCTGTTTTGAAGGAGTATGTGGTGCTAACAGCTCCTCAGGTCATGCTCATAAGGCAATTTCCAAGATATGCCAGCAGAGACCAGTCTTGTCCCATTTTAATGTTCCTCTGAAACCTGTCAAAAGGAAAGGCCTTGCAGCCCATGAATTCAAATCAGTGAGAGTGAGAGAAGAGAGGAAAGACAGTTCCTTGATTTTTATTTCCATGTCTCTCATTGGAGGCTTCATGGGCTAAGCTGTGTAAAACTTCAGACAAGGAAAGACAAGAATACATAAGCATAATATAATATATAATACATAAGAGGCATTTAGGGACATATTTTCTAACAATGGTATCATTTTAGTGGGAGAATTTCACAAGAAAGTAGTGATTGTATCACTCATACCAGTCCTGGATTCTTTAGTCTTTAAAGAAGCAACTACAAAGAAGTAGGCCGTACTACAGAGACTCCCAGAGGTGCACAGATTTCTTTTAGAGGCACTAGGAAGTTTTTTTGCAAACATTCAGTGCTTCTGGCTGTGAACCCCTAAAGTTAAACAACATACCTTTTTCATATAAGATGGTGGAAGGAGAAATCTGATTAATGTATATGAGTACTTGAAGAGAGGGTGCAAATAGAATGGACATTAACTTTTTCTGTGGTGCTGAGTGACATAACCAGAGGAATGGGCACAAAATAAAATGCAGAAGATTCCTTCTGAGCATGAGGAAACATTGAGTGGCTGAGCTGTGGAACAGGTTGCCTGGGGATGTTGTGCAGTGTCCATGCTCAGAGATATTCAAAAGCTGCCTAGACACAGTCCTGAGACCACTGGCTCTGGGTGGCCCTGCTTGAGCAGCAGGTTTGGACAAGATGACCTTCAAAGGGTCCTTCCAACCTCAACCATTCTGTGATTCTATGATTCTAGGAACTGGTGTCAGTAGCTACAGGATTACCACATCACATGATCTAGCATCATTATCAGTATAGAGATGTGACTTTATACATCCTCTCCTTCCATAACCTGATCTTTTTGAGTAGCCAGTATAACCTCTAGACTGCCAAACTGCTATTCATTATGAATATACAGCTGTTTACACAGATGTGCCTGGTATGTCACTGCCAAGTATCTAAAACAAGCACCTTTGACCATGGTTTCTGTAGCTACAGCTCCCCTGCCACCTTTTACAATAGGAGATGAAGGAGAATAAATATGAGGACAGGGAGTGGGACAAGGAAGAAGGTAGCTGTTTTATGAGAAACTTCTTATAAAAGCTGCTTTTTTTGTGCAGAGCCACTTCAAGCTGGCAAAAGAAGTACTACACAGGAGAAAATTCTGCCTTAGAGCTGGAACAGGAAACTGTGACTGCTGTACTTCAAGATGGCAATGCACACAGAGACCTCTGTGGTTTTCTACTACCACCTGGAAATTGCATGGCTGTGACCAGTCAATAGCCAGCTCATTAATCTGCTGAATGTTCAAGATTGCTGATAAGTTTCTTATCATAAGATCTTATTATTGCATTTGCTGCTCTAAACAAAAGAGAGTTGAGAAACTGAAAGTGATCCTTCCTTTGTTATGGTACCAGATCTGAAAAGGCTGTTTTTCAGTACTTATGCTAAAAGTCTGAGATGGGACTGTAGCATGATTTTCAGGACCTGATAGTTTATTAAAACAGAATTTTTTTTTTAAAAAAAGAAAAGATCACCCCAAAGTCACCACCATACTTTTTCTATACCTTAATAATTCCAGCATGAACTATTTTTCCTAAACTTTCACTGGGCACTTGTATCACTGGTAATAATTCCAGACAGCAGTGGTGTGAATGTGTTTGGTACCTGTGTAAAGATGATCTCTACAAAAAGATCAGAGGCTGAAGAGAATAAGGAACTTGGTGTGTTCCTGCTATGTGAGAGACAATGCTTTTCCAGTGCTTCCCTGCTGTATGACTGTAACCTGATATGAACAGTGAGTAGATCACGGACCTGAGAGTGTTCTAAGGAGAAGATGAGTGCTCCCTGGGAGCAAGGAGTGGTGTGTTACATTTAGTGCTGAACAGCCTCTGGAGTCAGAAGAATATCAGCTACAAGGGTGTGCAGGGAGTGGCATATGAAGTTGAAGCTTCCAGAAATGTCTTTGGAGGACTGGAATAAATCTGGTATGCAACTAGATTTAGCCTCTTCAGAGCCTCCACTGTGTCCAGGATGACACTACAAAGAACACCAGTTTCTGACACTTGTCCAGATTTCCGTAGCCAAGAACAGTTTACTTTCTTTCAGAGCAGGGCCGGGAAGCAAAGCAACATTTATGTAATATGGTTGATCGGGGACTAGGATCCTGGCATAAAACTGAGTGATCCATCCTGGCAGTACAGAAGTCTTCTAGCAATTCTAGTGAAATGAAGTGTGAGGATCTTTTACAGGACAGGCTTGCAGCTAATTCCTGCTCCTTGCTCTCATCAGCTATTCTCATCACATCCCACTCCTTTTTTTTCGGTAATCAAATAGTGTGTTTCACTTTGTCATATCCAGCTTTGTCGCATCACTGAGCAGCACGGTACATTTGCTACCTGTATTTCATATGTTATGCCTTCCATGTGAGCATATGCAACAACTGGTTTATGCTCGGTGGTATGCAGAGTGTCAAAGCCATGATCTAAAAACAGAAGCCCAAAATACACAAGTCTATAGCTATGCTTTCTTAAAAATGCCTTTTGCTCCTTTATGTGCTGTTTCCCTGCCTTTGAAGAAAAAGTAAGCCCTAGGTTTTGTGATAAAAATAGGAGCACGGACAGGCAATGGCAGGTGAGGGAGCCCTAATAATACCCTGCTCTCAGTTTTCCCAGATCCATCACAGATGAGTAATTAGTTCATCAAAAGTTCATCTCTGCAAGCATTAGAAACAGGCACAATGGAAGAAAATTTCTTCCTTCAGCTGTTCCTTACAAGGGGAGCACCAAGTGACAGCAGCTTTTTGTGTTTTCTTTTCTCGGCCTAGGAGGCTTTGCCATGAAGGGATGTGTTGGTCCAGTTCAGAACTGCATGAATTTCTCTGGCAAGGAAAAGAGGGTAATCCTGCAATAAAGCTGTGTGTGAAGCAGGTAAATAAAATGCTGCAGTGCACACTGTTGCTTGTAAAGATGTCAAAGGGCTGTCCCTTCCATAATGGGAGGTATGCCTGGTGCCCTGGGTATGTTTTCCCCCACAGGTACTGGTGCCATTCTCCTATGTCCACAGTCAGGGACTGGCCTCTCCTCCCACACCAATCAGTCTCTCATTGGGCACCTCAGTTTTGAGTGGATGATCAGTATGTGGAAGAACTTTTGAATTCTCTATCTGCTTTGTATTCTTTGCTAGTGCTATGGTGGTATCTCCGGGGAACTAGTGGCCCAGAACATGACTGTGCTTCTGTAACACCTATCTTAAGAAATATCTGCTGCCTTTCACTAACCACATCAGCAGTGCCTCAAATCTGAATGCTAATCTATGGGTTTGTATTTCTGAAGGCTCTTTGTCATTGAAACTAGATGCTGCTGCACTGCTTTGCTTATCTCTCTCCTCTCCAAAACATCCTGGGTCTTATCCCTCACTTCTTCCTTGTCTTTTTTCTGCTCTTCCTCTGCCCCTCTCCAAAGTGTCTTGCAGTTTTTCAGAGACCGCATCTCTCACTCAGGCAAGGTGGGGATTTTATCTTAGTGCTCAACCCCCTTGCTGCACTGTGCGATCACTCGCACCACAGAAATACATGGCTGCATCCTTGGATGTCACATTCTTGATTGTTATCTTGGACAAATCAGTATTGTCTCTGCTTATCTGAAACTTTGCCTCACTGTAACCATCCTCATTAGAGACCTGCTTCCATGTAGTAGTACTGGCTATTAACTTCAGACCATTTCTTGGATGCTGCTGGTACCAGAACATATAGGCGCGTTGTAAATTATTCTGGGAGCAGCTGATGGTCACAGTCTCCCCAGCTCTTTGAAGGGTTTCATCTGGCTGCTGCTTGATGGTCCTTCCAATCCCAACAACTGCATTAGTGAGAGAGAAAAAGAGAAAGTGAGAAGCAGGAGTACAGATGATGGTCAAAAGGGCCCTTGACCTAACATGAGCCCTGCCTGGCCTGGATGAGAGCTCTGCTGCAGATAGATCTGTTGTCTCTCACCAGATAAAAGAGCAAGCAAAAGAGTCAGCATGTCCCTTCAGCTGTCCCAGAGCAATGTGTTCCTGCTCATTTTGAGCTAAGAGTTAAGAGAGTTTGACGCCCCTCCCCTTCCTCTGATTTTCCCAATCAAGCTTGGGCAGAGAAGAGAGAAGAGACTGTCCACCTTTGATGCTTTCTTTGGTGAGCCATTAAAAGCAAAGCAAGTTATTCGTGTGGCTCTAAGTTTTGCTTTAGCCTTTCCACAAGACAGGCAGTGTTCTGAGCTCCTGACAAAAGTGTGGGGTTGCTTGCAGACCAGTAAGTTGCTGGCTGAATATTGTGCTGTCTGTCATTCCATCATTGTGCAGGTCGTGGTCTTGGATCTGTCAGACATGAACCTGGGAATACTGGCCTCATAAATGATTTTTTGATTCATTTACATCTGCAAATACAACCAATTTCCAGAAGGATTTATTCCAGTAAATGTATACATAAATTGTTTCATTCTGAAGAGTTGTTCTTAGTACCTGAGAGATGGTATCTCACAACTCAGAACTTGTTAGTCAGAAGCAAAGATGATCAATCAAGATAGCGGAGGCAGGAGAATCATGTCTAATCATATCTTCATTTCTTCAGTTTTCCAGCCAGGGAAGCATATTCCCTGCAGTTTAATCTTCCTGGAAGCTCTAATTCACTTTTACAAAAAGCAAAACATGTCTGCCAGCTATTTTTTTCTGAAAACAAAACCTGTAGTCAGACATTAGCCTCATGAACACTGATTTTTTTCTAGACTGCCAAATAGATCCTAGTTAGCCTATTCTATATACAGAATATATTCTACTCTATTCTATTGAGTTCTATACATAGAACCTATACCACTCTCCATTCTTTTCTGAATATGTAAGATTAAAAAACCTTATATTATTTTTAATTTCTTCTTTTCTCCCTAATACATTGAATGAAATACACACATTTAGTTCCAATGATTTTCACTAATCATGATACTGAATATTCCAAACAATGAGGGATACTTCTGAGGTTTTCTCTTTTTCTTCACATTTTGTTGATATCCCCCCTCCCACATTCTGCTGAAGCTCTAGAGAGATTTGTATTTTCCCTTGACCTCTATATATTTGTAGAAGAGGCATCTTCTGCCTGTGCACCGGGCAATATTGTACTTTCTCTCTGGGCCTAAGGCTGAGTTCCTAACATCATACCAGGATTCAGAGCAGTGGAAGTCTCAAAAATCTGATAGTGAATGTTCCCTGTCTCATTTTTAATCCTGCTTTTTTTTAGGGAGTTAACAGAAATTACCTGAGAAGCTATAGCTTCTTCCCAGACAGGAAGGAAAATAAGTTTCAGATGATGTATAAAAGTTTTGTATGATCTCCATTGTCATGGACGCTTAGCAGCTGAGAAACAGGGATTTGACCATGGCTTCTGTTCAGTCCCTGCCAATTCCTGCCACGGTGGGTTTTCTCAGAAGAACTTATTCCTTAGCTATGCTCCAGTGAGGTTGAGCCCTATGCTGGAGATACTACAGTTTCAGAGACTTGTAGACAATACAGAACAATTTTTAATTACCTTCCATATATTTTACATTTTTCTTTGCTTTTTTTTGGTGCTATTTTCAAAGTCAAACATCAGTTAACAAATATGTTTGAATGCATTTGATATGCTTTCATAATCTTACGTGTTTTCACACAGATTATCCTTTGATGCATATTATTGGCATTTACACCTCACAAGCTATTCTTCTTTTTATCTTTAATGGAAGATTTGTCTTGATTTTTGCTTGTTCTCCATCTGATTTTACTGACATTTTGTCCTTTCACCTTACTGGTAGGATGGGACTTCCATGGGCCATGTTGATACAGTTCCATGGGACACTGCTGCTTTCATGAGTGTCCCAAAATGATTCCTACATGCCTTGTGCATGGAGATATTACAGGATTTTTCATTTGATTATTGTCTGCCATTACAAACCTGTTAAAAACCTTTTCTTCCAACGGTAATCAGACCTTAAGTCCTGGAGGTAGAAACTGTTTCAGGGACTTGATGGGAAATGAAATAGACTATGGAGACAGTGGGAATTAATTCTAAGATTATACTGTGTGAGAACTCTGAGACAAAGCTAAACCATTCCAGTGCAGCTGGGCTACACATTCTTCTGCAGTCACATGCGCTAGATTTTTTACTCCTGCCAGGATGAGGATTTTTATTCAAAGTAACTTTTCTGTCTCAGAAAACTAAAAAAAAACCAATTACAGACTCTACAAAAGAAGGAAGTATCTACAAGATGTAACTCAGGACCTCTAGTGTATCGCTCAGGAATTGCGTAACATGTTGCTGCCTTCTAAAGAGTAATTAGATTGACAGATCTTTTGTTTTTCAGTTCAAAATGTCTGATTCTTTCAGTCTATTTTCTTTTAAGAGTAAAGTAGAAACAAGGGGGAAAAAAAGTAGCAAGATGAAGGCAAGTGTGGTCTAGCTTGCCAAATAAGCTGTATTTGCTTGTTTGGTGCAAGTTCCCCTTCCCCATCCATTCTATTTCACTTTGTCAGCTCCTTGCAACCTCTAAATTTCTTCCCAAGTTTTTTCAGACCATCTAAATTTCCATCTCACCATTTTTGCACTTTCCCCTGTCCTTCTTTGGCCTCTGTTTTCTTTTCCAAACTCTCCATCCTGTATTTTCACAGCAAAGAGACAGTTTCTAGGTTTGAAAATGTTAACACTCCCCAGTAGTGGCCCAGTTTACACAGGCTTGGAGTACACAGATCCTTCAGGGGAGGTTTTTCAGGCTGCTCTCTTACAGATTGTGTGCTGGATGAGATGGATTAAATAAATACTTTTAAACCTGGTCTCCCTCATCTACTTTAAAATCTCATCTCCCCCATCGGCTATGTCCTTTCAGGTCTCTTCCTTTCTGGTCCAGCCATTTACTGAAGATTCCTGGGTCACAGTCTGTTTCCCGCCTCAAAGGCTGAGACTTTATATCCACATCTGGCGTCATGTGGGACCACTGTTCTTCTCATGATTTCTGTACCCTTCTCCCCAGTACTGTGGCCTTTTATTAACTTGCTATTCCCTCAGTGTCTCTGGCTCAGTCCACTAGGACCCCTCCCTAGTTCCTGAGATCAGGCACTCTTAAAGAAGTCACAACTTTCCAAATCAGAGATGACATGAAGGCTCTGTAGAGTAGAACATTGATGTTAGCAGAATGTAAAAAAAGAACATGTAAGGTAGTTATGGAATATAGTAGAAGAGTGGTCTCCAAACATTTTTCATTGTACACCCCTATTAGTAAAATATTTTTAAACATACATCCCCCATTGTATGCATATTTAGTAGTTGTTAACTATATACATATAATACTAAAGTTCTAATGCTTCCTTCCCGCACCTCAGTACATCATCGTGCACACTCCTGGGGTACATACACCCCACCCTGGAGACTCCTGCACTGGAGCATCATAAGCCAGGAGCCTGTCTCTGAATATCAATTACAGATACAAAGAGCAGAAGACACACAACCCTTCACCAGCCACTCTTCTGGCCCACAGCAACTGAGGAGTCAATGTTCCTAGGTCCTAGGTCCATCTTTCAAGAGCTCCTCACAGGCAGGAGACACTTGGGAAGAGAGAAGCAAGGATGCCTACACAACCAAGCTCTGAGATGTAAAAGGAATAACCTCAGAAATGCCTCTGATTTATGCTCCTCGGAAGCTTTATCTCTGTCAGCCAGGTCTCTCTTTCCCAGGATCTTGCATCAGTCTGGACAAATGTACTTACTTTATCTGAGTCCAGTGTTGATACAGCTGACTGAAATACTTGAACTAGGAACAAGGAGTTCTAGAAATACAAGCTACCATTGCTTGTCCATTGATAGTACCTAACACAGCTGCCCCCATTCACCAATCCTTCTTCCTGTGCCCCTGGAGCCACCAGCATTCTGTTGCAGCATCGTCCATGAAATGAGAGCCATTTGTGGCAGTAGATGTATGCCCTTGGGTGTATTCTTTGGAAGACCATAACAAAAACCTTACAATGAATCAGTGAAATGTTCAGCAGCATTGAGCAGAAGAGAGTGTTTATATTTCAGGTAGCAATTTGTCCTCTTAAATAAAGGAAGGAGGGGCAGCAGAAGATGTTCCAATTTCAACTGCAATTCAAAGAAACTTGTTCATCCTTTACATTTCACATAGAGAGGCCTGAAGGGCTGTTCGTAGACTGTCTGCAGAATGACCTCAGAGTTGAGCATCTGAGAAACATCCTGTTTGCCTTAATTTGAGATCAGTTTGCTCCATGGTCTGCCCCACTGGCATGCACCCTGGAGTTCTAGGCTTCATAGGAGCCTCTGGAAGGGGTGTCTGAGAGGTAGATAGGAGAATGGGAGAACTGGATGAAGTCTGTTCTCTAGATGTCTCCCATCAAGGACTTAGGAACAAAAGAACCACAGAAAGTATGACTCAAGCCTTTGGCTGAGAGCTTTGACAGTAGCCTGGAAAGAGGTCAGGATTGTCTTCATGCTGATGTAAGAAAGTATCACAGAAAGTCTCAGAGACATTGTTCATCTAGGGGATTACCAGTCAACCCTATATGATGCCTTTCCTGCTGTTAAAAATAACTGATAAATTAAAGATCAGAGCAGATTAAATAAGTAACAAAGGAAAAAAATTAAAAGTACCAAGATAAAGGCAGGTATGTTCCAGCTTCCCAATTCAGATGCACAGTTACTGGATTTTCCTGAAATTCAAGAGTATACAGAACCAAATGTGAAAGGGAAGCAGTCCTTCATAGCTTAAGTGTTACCTAACAGGGTATTAGACGTATAGCTCAAGAAAAATATTGCTTTAAAACAACTGATGACAGCCTGTCTCTATGCCAATGGCATGTTACGCACAAAGAGATTATAAATCTACAGGGAGACCAAATTATATGCTATTGTAGACTAGAAATTCTTCTTGCTCGGCTTAGTTAGATAGCTTTGGTAACTTTTACCACACTTAGTCATATTATGGATCTTTTTCACAGGGAGCTTCTAATCCTTATTT